TGGGAGGCCGAGGTGGCAGTATCCCTTGAATCCATTACATCAAGACCAGCCTGGACAACATAGTGAGACCTTTGTCTCTCTAGGCATGGTGGCCTTCGCGCATAGTCCCAGCTACTTAGGAGGTTGAGGTAGGGGGATCACTTGAGCTCCAGACATTGAGGTTGCAGTGAGCCATGATTGTGCCGCTGCACTCCAGCCTGGGTGACAGAGTGAGATCGTGTCTCAAAACAAAAAAACAACAAAAAATTCACGAATATTCTTAGCAGCATTACTTATAGTAGCAAAAAAGGTAGAAACAACCCACATACCCTCCATAAACTGAAGAATGGTTTTTAAAAATGAAAAGGAGGCCGGGCACAGTGGCTCATGCCAGTAATCCCAGCAATTTGGGATGTCAAGGCGGGTGGATCACTTGAGATCAGGAGTTTGAGACCAGCCTGGCCAACATGGTAAACGCCTATCTCTACCAAATGTACAGCAACAACAAAAAGTTAACCTGGCATAGTGGCGGGTGCCTGTAATCCCATCTACACAGGAGGCTGAGGTAGGAGAATCACTTGAACCTGGGAGGCAGAGGCTGCAGTGAGCTGAGATCGTGCCACTGCACTCCAGCCTGGGTGACAGAGTGAAACTCTGTCTCAAAAAATAAATAAATAAATAAAATTAAATTAAAAAGGCAAAGGAATTTTGTTTGGTCATAAACAGGAATAAAGTACTGGTATATGCTACCACATGCATGAAACTTGAAAATATCATGGTAAATAAACAAAGCAAGATGTACAAGATTACACATTGTATGATTCCATTTATATAAATGCACAGAATAGATGAATCTAGAGAGGAAATTTGTGGTTTTTAGGGGTTAGAGGAAGTAGGAACAGGAAGTGACTGCTGCATGGTATTTCTTTTTAGGATGATGAAAATATTCCAAAATTAGATACCAATGACAGTGGTAAAACTTTGTAAATATACTTAAAGCCACTCAGTTGCACACTTTAAATGGGTAAAATTTTATGGTATATGAATTATATTTCAATAAAAAATTTTTTTTTAATGTTTAGGCCGGGCACAGTAGCTCATGCTTATAATTCCACCACTTTGAGAGGCTGAGGCAATTGGATCACTTGAGCCCAGGAGTTTGAGACTAGCCTGGACAATATGGTGAAATCCCAAACCTATAAAATATATGAAAAATAGTCAGGCATGGTGGCAGGAACCTGTAGTCACAGTTAAGGTGTGAGGATCACTTGAGCCCAGGAGGTAAAGGATGCAGTGAGCCATGATCACGCCACTATATTGCAGCCTTGGAGACAGAGTGAGACCTTGTCTCAAAATAAATAAATAAGTAAATAATAATAAAAAATTCAAGGGTAGAATAATACATTTGAATTGTTTACAGGAAAGATAATTTTGGATGCAAGTCAGCAAATTTTCTCTTAATATGTTAATAGAATGCTTCATTAATGGCATTTCAAAGTAAAATCTCTCTTAAAGAATATAAAAAATAAAGTAGGGAAGATATGGAGCTCAGGGATTACATGATGAAATGTTTGCAGACATCTTAGAGGTATGATGTAGATGTTCCTGGTTTACACTGACTTAAAGCTATCATTTTAGAAAACAACAATATGTTAAAAGTTACTTTAGAACAAGGCAAGAAATATTAAGATAAAAAGAGCTGGTTAGGATTAAAGCGTATGGTCTTTTGCTGTTTTTAATGCTTTCTTTTCCAAGGCATTGAAATAACATAACAAAGCATAAAGACAGTGAAAACTAAAGGGAGCCATTCACAGTAATTGAAATAGCCAAATGTAAAATGCAAATACTTTTTAAGGCATTGGTTCTGGTTTTGAGAATGCTTGAAGGTTTCTCAAGAAAAGCTAAAGATAAGCATAGTTCATACAGATAAAGAAAAGAGATTTCAAAGAAAAAGAAACACCATTCCTTTCCATATATGTGGTGAATTTAAACCACCAGATAATTCTTACAGTCAACTATTTATGTCTGTGAGAAAAGCTAAAGAAACCATTTTGAGTGTGTTAATTTTTTAAATAAATACATTGTAACATCAGATAAATCTATCTCTAGCCTCATTGTCTCAATTATGGTGTCTCTATCTGCTTTGTTCATATTAGAATCTTACTTAAAGAAGTAGTCACATAAGTTCAAATCCTGGTGATAAGGTAAACTGCTGACATTTAAACAGTTGCCAACCTTGAATACTAACATGGGAACTCTCAACAAGGAACAGACTGGGATGGTGATAGGTGAGTTAGCTTTTGAACAGTGAATAAAAAGCTGCTATTATCCCTAATGGGTTTCTTAATGTAGCTTTTTGAAAAAAAGAAAGTTGAGCTTTGGGGTCTAGCTCATTGGAGAAAGCGATCATGTTCCTTAGCCTCTCTCTGTACCAATTCCCTTACCTGTAAATAGAAAACAATACCTTAATAAAGGTACAAGAAAGATGAAATAAAATAATGTTAATAAATATCCTGTGTGTACCTGGCACATACAGTAGACTCTCAATCAGTGTAGCTATCATTATTTCTGTAATTATCAAATTCTATTTTACATTATAATAATTAAAAACATCAGGAAAAAAAGTAACATTGTGTGACATTATAAAATGTCAAAATATTTATAAGTCATATTATAAGCTTTGGCCAAAACAGTTTCATGTCTTAGCAACTTGACTCATATTCAGATGAGGATGATGAAAAAATAATTATCTCTATTTAAATATAGTACAAATGTACAGTGCTTGTGAAACAGTGTTTCCCTCATTTTCCAGTTTAAAGTAAAAAGGAAAGTTTCACTTCAAAGAGATGATAAAGCAACTGGTAAAATGAGACAAATGAATGAAAAATATCAAACTCTTCCCGACCCTCTCTCCTTCACAGATGAAAAGTAAAACGGAGGAAAATGGTTATCAAATGGCTATACTTGTCACTCAAATTAAAATATACATATACTTGAATGCATACAAATATTTTATATTTATGTAGGATGTACTTTGTTCTAACCATCCTACAAAAAAAAGTTAGCTGCAGAGTTGTATCAATGTCATATATTACAGCAAATATTTATTAACATAATGTTCATTCTTCCCTGCTAGATAATACGTGTCATGAAATCAGTGTAAGTTGTTCACCTATTCATATCTTAGGTCCACCACATAATCTCTGGCATGCTGCAATGCTGAATAAATATTGGTTAAATTAATGAGATAACTGGGCATGTTAGGAATACATCTACCACCACTGTTTCAGTAGGAAAGGATACAGCTTGCCCTTATTCAAGCAGAGGCAAGAACTCTGAGATGATGGTAACAAAGGGGTAAAAGTTTAAACAGGTTGCGGTATTAAAGTTGTATGTGTATGTGTGTGCACATGTGTGTGTGTGTGTGAAAGTGGACCTGGGGGCCTCATGGCAGAGCACCTGGAAGAACCATTCCTTTGGTGATTCTAATTGGGATTGCACGTGCTGTTGAGCTGTGGCCAGGAATTATGATAGGAAAGGCTTTTTGGCCAATGAGCCTAAAAGATTTGTTCAGGAGGACTAACTTAATAGGTCTTAGGGATGAGGAGTTACGCTATCTGTATATTTAACTTCTGAGCCAGGCTTAGACTGTAACTCTCAATCTGCATTTGATGCCTAAGAGCATAAGACTGATTCATGTTCAGTAGGGCCTCCAAAGGTAGTGACAGACTAGAAAGATAGGACACAGGTAGCCAAGGTAATCTTTCTATCTTTTGAGCACATTGATCTGCTCAAGCAAGATTTAGATTAAAATCCAGTAAGCATTACCTACTGTGTGTCAGTGACATTTATCTCCTTACTTCTTCCCAGGAAATTATTTATTTATATTCATTAAGTTTACAGGCTGATTTATGAAAATAGAATGGAGTATATTCTGCAGGCAAACAAACATTTTAAAATTCTTATCCATCATTTGTTCTTTATTAGGGATTTTATAGCCATCATAAAGTCAGGGGGAATAGCAAACACACTTCACTACATGCTAGACCCTATTTCAAACCATTTACACAGATTATTTCATTTGGTTATCACAACAATCTATTCCATAGGTACAATTATAATCTGATTTTACAGATGTGAAATGGATCAAGAGGTATTAAGTCATTTGGTCAAGGTCACACAGCTACTGAGCCATAGATCTCGGATTGAGAGTCAGCACACTGATTTCAAAGCAGGGACTCTTAACCTCTAAACTATACTGTCACTGAGCAATAGGTCACTCACTCACTACCCAGAGTTTTGACTTTGTTTTGTCTTAAGTTTAGCACAGTACTCCTCAAACTTTAATGCGTTCAAAAATTATGATGTAAAAGTATAGACTTCCAAAATCAAGTTTTGTAGGTAGTATAAGGGAGTTCAAGGGCATTTTTTGCCTAAGTAGATAACTTGAGTGTTTAACCCTTTAGAAGTAATCTAACTGTAATTTACAAAATACCAGACAGCCTGTAAAGCAAAGGCAGTGTAAGTAGAAGTCAGTCATCCCCAACAAGGTGCTTGGATATGCTAATTACAGATAACTTAGGAATGCATTTGAGCTCAGGCTTTTTTAGGCAACGCTAGTCTGCTTACTGTATTGCAGTTAGTATACAAAATTTAAGATATAAGATAAACAGAAATTTATTTGTATTATTCATCCATTTGTCCCTTTCCTCTCTCCCTTAACTTCTTTCCATTTATTCATTATTCATTCACCACTATGTCAGATTTGTGGACAAAACAGAACCCAAACGTGGCCTTATCCATGTGCAGCTTATGCCCTTTAAATGAGTATGGTGCTTCCACACTTCTCAGCATTTATTTAGCTCATAGAAACGTGCCATGTATTAATCAATGGAACTGCATCTTTTGCTTAAAATTGCTTAAAAATTTAACATGGATAGAAGCATGTCTTGATTTTTATATTTTAGAACTCAGATAAAACTCTGGTACAAGGTGAAGACTATGAGAATCTAGTTTAAATTGATAAATGCACTCGTCATCATGATACTTTCCTTTTATGGCTAGATAATAGAAATAATGTGTTTAGCTCTAAAAATTTTCATCTGTTGTCAAGCTGAGGGATCAATTGCAGTTGTCTATATTCTATTTTTATACTCTAACATTTTAAATCTTCTTTAAAAGTATTCGTGAATTTTTAACATCTAAATGTTCCAAAGATACAAATAGAATTAGACAGTAGTTTGATAACCGATTGTTATTGTATCCAACTGAAAACTTCTAAATCATGAGCAACACCAGAATATTACTAAATGAATTCTTTAAAATGTAGGGACTTCAGACCAAGAAGATACAGAAGCTCAAGAGATATCGATCTCATTCTGAAAATAACACCTTTATAATTCCCTCAATGCAATAAGGTAATTCCCATCTGAGAAGATCTCATTTGATGGAGATAATGATGTTACCAAGTTGCAGAAAGATATTCTAATATATTTTAATTAATTTTAAATTTTAAAATGAATTTGGATTTTGTATATCTAGGAAAATGAATGAATGACTCATGGTTTCCATAGAGATAAAATAAAAATTTCTCAAAATCACCAATAAGCCTGTGAACAAATATAATTGTATATCCATCTCTGCCATACAGTGTACTCACACTTATAAAAATTAAGCCAATATTTTAAATAATTATTTTATCAAAATAGACTTTTTCCCCAAAAAACTTAAATTGTGATATAAGCATTTAACAGCAATTTTAAACACATACATGATACCAAAAGCTTACTAACTTAATTTGAATGTTGATTTCACTAAAATATTCAATAAAATATGTAATCTGATGGACATTTTTTTCCAGAGCTCTCCTCAGAAGGCGAAGGCACAAAGCAAAAGCAGTTTTGTTTATTTCTCTTTAAAAAATGATTTTTTGCATTTAATAAACATGAAAATTTACAGTTCACAGAAGTTTGTTTCATTTTTCTTTTTGCTATTAATTCCCTTGGGATTTGTGTAAATTCTTTCCAAATTTAGCAATGAAATGTCTTGGAAAGTAAAAATTTGGAAAAGCAATATTAACATTCATAAAAGGGATGAAAATAAAAGCAAACATAGATGTGGAAAATTTGAAGGTGAGCATAAAGAAAAGAATAAGTAGGTGAGAAGTAAAATTAGACCAGTAGTAAAATGCAGGTGTTATTTAATTTACATAAACATTAACTTTCTGAATCAAGAAAGAAGTAAAAAAATAGCATAGTAATTTGAAGCCTCAAATTTAAAGATAACTTCAACCTGGATTTGATGAAATGTTGGATGGTAGTACCCTTGACATGTGATTATACTATAACTCAACTCTAAATCACATTGCAAAGATGAAGATTCATAGAGAACTGGAAAGCCCAGTTCTTGAAGCTGCACATTTGAAGTCTCAAGTTCTTTCATTACACGGAAGAAACATCTATAGTCATTGAGAGGAGTGAATCCCAAACGGCTAGAAGATTACTAAAAAAGAAAAATGACCTGTCAGATGATAATTAAAATTACCTGCAGGCTTAGCATTGTTGGTGTACTACAATCCCAAGCATGCCACAGAGATATCTGGTAAAATACCTCTTTCCTTACAAAATCTATTTTTCAATCAGATTACTTGGTAATGTTTTCAATGGAACTATATTTTCAACTCTACATTGAAAATGAATAGATGAATGACATTTTTTTTATTTTTTAAAATGCCTTTAAAATAGATTTTATGAAGTATTTTCTTCAGTAAACCAAAGAGACAGGGGAAGAAAAAAAATCAGACATGGGATATAAATAATAATAAGGGAAGAAAATCTAACAAGTATAGAGATGAAGGAAAATTGAAAGTCAAAAACATAAATGCTGCAATTTTATCTCCACTTTTTCTCCTGATAGATGTTGATTACAACAATTAACCTGGCACTAACCTCCACCCACCTCCCATTGACACAGTGGGAGCTCATCACAAAGTTACAATTATGAGCTGCACATAACACAAAATTGTTAACCTGCTCATTTACCGTCTTTCTTATTCCCTCAATATTTTATCTCATTTATTAAGTGAAACCTCCACTGACATCAAATGTAGCTACTCTGTTTCAAGAATTATATCATATGCGTACATCCCACATGATAATTGTAGATAAATCCCATGTATATGTTTAAAATTTGTCTTACACACATCTTTGTCTTATATGTCCAGTTGTCGGAATCAAAATGCCAGTCATTATGTATGAAAACATTATGATGCTAAAAATCTACAGAGCAATGTTATCCACATAAAGGCCTGAGGTAAGGGGGAAACAATTCCTCCCATGTGATAATATTCTGTCATTTCTGTAGGTTCCATGATATTTCCATTTTCTATAGGCTTTGTCTCTCATTGTAAAAGTGGGATTAATGATAATTATAACAGAACTAACATAAATGACTCAGTATATGCACCATCATTTATATCTCCATAGCCATTCTCTCTCCTCATCTAGTTTATTGTTCTCAAAACATTTCAGCTAAATGGATATATCATCATTATTTTGGAACTCATCTAGAAATAAAGAGATCTCCTTAATAATTCCCCCAAAGCTTCCTGGAATGAGCCTCTCATCACTGATGTAGTACCAGTATTTTGTTTGTATCCTATTCAGTCAAAATCTCGCTCACTTTTTTTCATTATTTCACTGTTGTTCTTTATTTACAAGTTTGTTAATACTTAAGCCACCTTGAGTCTTAATTGTTACCATGGTTTTTTTTTGTTTATATATATATTTTATTGCGTTTTAGGTTTTGGGGTACATGTGAAGAACATGCGAGATTGTTGCATAGGTACATACATGGCAATGTGGTTTGCTGCCTTCCTCCCCATCACCTATATCTGGTATTTCTCCCCATGTTATCCTTCCCCAATACCCCACCCCCCACTGTCCCTCCCCTAGTTGTTTGCATCCTTTGTAGGGACATGGATGAACCTGGAAACTATCATTCTCAGCAAACTGTCACAAGAGCAGAAAATCAAACACCGCATGTTCTCACTCATGGGTAGGTGTTATCTTGTTTTTATACTACCTGGGGATCAAATAAGCCACTACAATTAGAGGGAATTCACAAAATAATACAGTTATTTGGGGGTTTATAAAGGGACATTTTAGGAAAAGTTTGGGACGTTAAAAACATGAGTTTTCAGAATTTCACACTTAGGCCACAACATACTTTTCCTTTGTATACCATTAATTGTTCTATAGTCAGACTTATAAACCTTCAAAAAAGTAATACGTTTTTTCGTTTCTGCCATAGCAAACACTGAAGAAAATGGTATGGAGAGCCATCCGGCCAATGAGTCAAGCTGTAGTTTGATATGAGGGCCTGTCTGTGTGCTCTGAGAATGAATCTGTTCTCTTCATATTAACATAGAACATCATTAGTTGATGTGAATAATTTTGACTTTCTGTAATTATACCTATTGAAAACTCATGATCATTTTTCTACAATAAATTTTAATACACTATGGCAAGAAGGATCTCCTATTACCTTCCTGCTCAAAAAGCTTTAGACTGAATGAATTTGAAACTCCTTAAGGTAACTCTCAGAGCTCCCTACGGTATCTGTCATTTCCCCTTCTTACCAGCTTCTTTCTACTTTTCACGTGTTGCCACTTTGCTTTATTCATCCCATGTTCCAGACAAGTAGACTGTTTCAATAATAAAACACATACCATTGTTTCCTGACTCTGTCCATTTAGACATTCTGTTTAGTACAACTGAAATGTTTTTCAATCCTACCTCCACCTAAAAACTCTTCTGTTTTAAAAGATCCAGCATAAATGCCACCAGGTTCATGAAGATTTCCATGTTCCATGTAATCCTTTGTTCATACGTCTTATATATGGTGGTGCTTACCATGTCCTATCCTGCTTTGCAGAGAATTGTGATAATTGTAAGTTCCTGTAGGGCAGGGGCCACATTTTATTTATTTTTTTCTTGTAAGTCTCCAAAGAACATAGTAGATAAAACATTTTGTACAAAGTGAGCAGTTAATAACTGTCGTTGATTTTCCATTTTACAATTTTCCATTGTAAAATGTATTTTAAGTGAAGATTATTTGCTAGGTAGTGTGGTTCTTTTACTTGTTCTTTTACTTACATTTATTTATTTATTGAGACAGGATCTTGCTCTATTGTGCAGGCTGGAGAACAGTGGTGTGATCATGGCTCACTTCAGTCTTGACCTCCTGGGTTTAAGCAATCCTCCTGCCTTAGGACCCCACCCAAAGTAGCTGGGACTACAGGCTGCACCACCATGCCAAGCTAATTTTTGTATTTTTTGTAGAGACGGGGTTTCGCCATGTTGTCCAGGCTGGTCTTGAACTTCTGGGCTCAAATTATCTACCTGCCTCAGCCACCCCAAGTGCTGGCATTACAGGCGTGAGCCACAGTACTGGCCTTCTAATTCTTTTATTCAAAAATATTTATTAGGCATAAGTTAAATACCAAGCAATGAATATGCAGTGGCAAACAAAACATTGTCTCTCTACTTGCGGAATTTACCATCTAGTCTAATAGCACAGTGTAATATAAAGGGCACTGGACTGGTTGAAACTTGGCTTCCAGTCTGAGTCCTGTTCCTCACCAGCCAGGAATAGTGGGCCAGTTGATACAATCTCTCTGTGTCTTATTTTCCACTGTTGGCTAAATTTGATACTCATTACCATACATTAGGGCTCAAACATGTTTTCCTATTTTATCTTGACTCTGGAGCAACAGGTTCAGATGATGCAACTTGTTCAATGATGTATAGGTCAATCAGGGCTGTCTTTTTTCTTTGAGTTGTTTTCTCTCTGTGTGCACCAAAGACAGAACTAGCATTTGTGGATGCATAGTAAGTAACATCAAATAGAAATAAAGAAGTAAAAATCAGCTTCAAATATTTTAGTAGGCCTAGCATCATATGCTAAACATTAATCATAAAAAAATATATAGGATTAGCAGTGTCTTGTTTTAGGAAAATGATGGCCATATTGAAAAATCCTGGCCAGGAAGTTTCCCAGACTCATGAGGGTTTCCTCCATCCATGTTTATTCAGTCAGGCAGTTATGATGGGAAAGATCATCCGCTCCAAATCAGTTCAGTGCTCTATAGAGAAATTGAGGCCACTAAGCCATAGCCAAACTATAGAGTGTTATGCTTTACTTTGGGGAATATTGAAAGAAGTAATTCACAAAGCTACTTGCAGAGTTCGTATTTTGGCATTTAAGAGAATTGAGAGTAGAAGAATCTATATGGCCAAGGCATTATCAATCAACTCAGGTGAAGCAGATCCTTCAAAAACTGATTAAACCTGTGCCTCTATCTATTTTTATTAACTCTATGCAATATATATATATATATATATATATATATATATATATATATGTGTGTGTGTGTAGTATTTATTTTAATACTCTCTACTCTTCTCATATGTACTTTGGTCTCAGTACAAGGCCTTGCTTCTTATGTCACTAAATCCAGGATCTTTGTTCAGGTTGGCTTTTATTCTCTCAGCAGTGCTTGTGACCCATTGCCCATTTCTTTTCTGTTCCCTTGCGTGTATGCTATCAGTCTCTCTTAGTTTTCCTTCCACCTCTTGTGTCTCCCTTCCTGGATCCTTTTCCCTTATATGAACTTTAAGTGTAGAATTTCCTCTCACGACATTCTTCATTCAGTGGTCTTTCTTTGTGCAGTTTCCTGCACTCTAGTAATTTCAATTATAATTCAAATGGTTTCCAAGTTTATACCTCTAGTTCAGAACTTTTCTTAGCTACAAACTCATAGTTCATCAATTATGACATAACCATTTTGATATCTCAAAGGTGTCAAACTTTGGTGTCAAACTTCATAAGTTAAAAACTAACTTTACTTCCCAATATTTCCTTTAATATTTCCTACCACTATTTATCCATTCATTCATGTCAGAAGTCTAGGAGGCATTTTTAAAATATCATCTCCTTTACCACTTGCAAAAAATCTTACCTAAGGCCATGGTGTTAGCCTTCAAACAGTCCTGGGATCCATCCACTTCATTAAATTTCAATTCCATCTTTATAGTCCAAGTCACCGTACTTTCTTACCTGTATTGCTGAATAGCCTCTTAAATGGTCTCTTCTAATTAATACCTGCTCCCTGCACCCTGATCACTCTCCACATTGTATTCAGATAAAGAAAATACAAATCTCTTATTCCGCTGTTTAAGACTACTCCCATAACTTCCCATTTCTCTTGGGATGAAATCCAAAATCCTTCATGTGGCTTTCAAGACCTATTATTTTTACCTTAGCTTGGCAGACCCTCTGGTTCTGTTTCCTTAAGCCACACTGACTTTTCTTTCTGCTTTTTTAAAGGGCCAAGTGCTTTCATGCCTAAGGTATCCCATAGGGTACCTGATCTTGGAAGGCTCTTTACAACCCTCATCTTTCCTTGGTTAACATCTAATATTCATTCTTCACATTATATCATAAATGTTACCACTTTGGAGATATCTTTTCTGAACCCTCAGAGTGGTTTATGTACCAGTTATAGGCTTTCTCATTGTATGATGTACTTTCCTCAATCACATTTATACCTGTTTTAATCAAGGAATAATTCCCACAAATACCGATAACTTGAGTTGGGTATTGGTGGTTTCGAAAACTGCTTACTATTTAGTGCTTAGCACAGTGTGTGGCACTTAGTATCATCTAGACATGAAATTATAGAATAAATGAAGAATCAATCTCTCTCCCTCTCTCTCTCTGTCTCTCTCTCTCTCTCTTTCTCCTGAAGCAAATGTCTTTCATAACCACTCCAAAATTTTTTCCTAAGCTTTAAAAAAGCACCAGTAAGATTTTTGGAGTGTTTAGAAGATGGTGCAGAAAGGATGTCGGAGGAAAGGAAAGAAAGAGCGCAAGATGTTGGTCACTGTCCACCATTATTTGCTAAATATACACACTCACCCATTCTGCTCCTAAGAGGCCTCCACTTGTTTTCTCCAAGACAATAAAAGCAAAAATTGTAGCTGCTATTAGTTTATGTAAGACATAATGTTTTCAGTTTCGTTATTGTTCTACATCCATCTTGTTTATATTTTCTCTTTATTACATAATTATTTGTGATGAGGTATGCCAGCAACTTATTTATAAAGATCACTACTGACTTCAGTATAGAAGTTCAAGAATGAATACTTATGCATGCACATATATATACACACACACCCCTAAAAGAGAAAACAAAAAGAAATTAAAATTAAAATACTATTAGCCTTTAGAGACAGAAGATTTTCATGATGGTTCCCATATAACTACAAATTTGACACTGATTTTAGTTGCAATACAGAAGATTTTCATTATGGCTCCTATATAACTGCAGATTCAAAACTGATTGTAATTGTAATAAAGATAAGACCAGTAGAGAGCACTACATGCACTAGCTTTTAAAGCAGTCTTTGCATTACTAACTACTCATAAAATTTAATGAAAGAATAGTATTTGTTGTTTTAAGTTGTACTTAGCTTTTTATTCAGTTAGTGATTCAACATGTCATTTTATTTGAAAATGAAAGTACTTAAACATCTCTTTGTGTTTTAATTGTGTTCCTATATTATTTCATTTAGTGGAAATAAATTGTTTAATAAAACAATTGTGGCTCTACTGTACAGCATGACTGTAGTTGGCAATCTATATATTCTTGACGTGTTAAGAGAGTGGATGTAAAGTGTTCTCACTATTATAATGATGATATTGTAGTTAATACACAAGTTAATTAGCTAGACATAGTCATTCCATGATATATATACCTTTAAAAAGCAGTCGCAGATATTATAATCTGGAAGCACAAAATTGAAAATGGCCACATTATTACTGGATTGCACAAAATGACAAGGCCATAACTGCATGGAATTCATGCTTATAAAGATGCTATAAAGAAGACTGATTTTCATTCATAGCCCTGTTTGAGATAGCAAAAACCTAGAAACAACCTGAGAGTACACCTATGAGAGACTACTCTGAGGCAATTTTATGAAGTCAAGAATTATATAGATCTACATGTATTGATATGAAAATATCACTAAAATAAAACAAAGATGAAAAATATGTTGTATAGTAGAATTCTACTTAGAATTTAAAAAAGATATATGCACATATAACATACAGTATGTGTATTTCATATAATATATATATACATGGTATTAAATATACCAAAAAAATCCTTCTTAACATTGATGACTTGCGATTGAATGGGTTTCTGCAATACCTTTTGAATTGTTTGACGTGTGCATTGTCTTATGCTTAAAATTTCAAAACGAAAACTCTTGTTAAAAAAAGAATGTATAAGATATATAAAAGAGTTAATAGAATAGTTTGTTTGCTTATCTTACCTCGATAAAGATGGTAGAGATTTTCTTGCTGTCTCCACTTTTTGGGGATTTTTTTAATTTGGGGTCTAGATAAAAATTTTTATTCAGATTGGTTTACTGCAATTAATCTATGCAATATTCTGGGTGGCAGGAGCCTTGAGATACTAATTTAGAATTAAAACCATCTTCAATTGTCTCGTTTTCCCCCATTCTGGTTAAATCCTTAAAAGACTATAATAAACTCACAGTTGGAGTTATTATGTGAAATGCTTTAAGCAAGAAGTAAAATTAAAAAATCTTTGAAAGAGGAAGCTTCTCAGAGATACTGCATTTCAGAAAGTGGATCTGCCTTGTGTAATGGCACAGACTTGGGGAATGGCATAAGGAGATTGCAGGGTCAGCGAGGCCCACCTGAGGGGCAAGAGTGTAAGAGTCCCTCCAGGACCAGAAAGACCAGAAAACCACAGAAGCTGAGGGTAAGAAACTCAGTTTAAGAGAGCATAATTTGATCCCCCAATTAGTTTTGAGAAAAGGGCACTTTATGTTTTAGGCTGGGCCCAGAAAGATCATATTTAAGTATAAACTAACTAAAAATTATAGCACTTTTTGCTTCAAATTAGAGCATTGGAGGATAAACGCTAGAGAGAGTTTGGAATCCTCTACTGAATGTGCTGTCCATGCTAATGGTGCATTTAGCTCTTAAACTTGCTAATTACTGACATGTATGTTTTCCAGCACACTTAAAGTAAATTCTGCTACTAGTCTCAATTACTGTACAGTGTAAGAATGTGAAAAATTTCAAGATGGCCTGTTCATCTGTTTCTTCCCAATATCCTTAATTAATTCCATAGTACCAAAATTAGAGGTAAATTATGCTGGTGGAAGGAATAAGTTAAGCTATATTTAAAGGAATAGAAGTCAGATATTGAGATGCTCATCAAGAGAAAGCCATTTTAACCGTGTTTTACATAAAGCTGAAGTCCCAAACAAACAAGCCCTAGCTATCATTAATGTCCTTTCCAAGTATCAGGTGACAGTGTTGTCCCTTCACCATGTTAAGATTCCTCAGCCACATTGAGACTTTATTATAATCATCATGCCTTTCCTCTTTCTTTAGTTTTTGGTGAAATTCCTTAGAAGTTCCTGGTCTACTTAGCAATCCTCTGATTCAAAGTTGCAAAGAGTAGCTCTCTCTGCTCAAAGGTAAAACTTTCTCCTACCTACATGCAAGAAAGTAAGTATTTGCAAGTTTCTTCTGGAAGGCAACATAAGTTGCCTGCAGAAAGTCACCACAATCCAGACTTGCCTTTTTAATTTCTGTATGCCTTTAACACATACATATTTATAGTATTGTTTATTCTTGATATATCATTTTGTAGTTAATGTTATGCTTTTCTTTTCTTTTTTTTTTTTTTTTTTTTTTTTT